TTAGTAGAGACGGGGTTTCACCATGTTGACCAGGATGGTCTCGATCTCTTGACCTCGTGATCCACCCGCCTCAGCCTCCCAAAGTGCTGGGATTACAGGCTTGAGCCACCGTGCCCGGCCTGCAATTCCACTTCTAAGTATATAGCCCAAAAAACTAAAGTAGGGACTCAAACAAATATTTGTGTAACCACATTCACAGCAGCATTATTCACAATAGCCCAAAAATAGAAATAACCCAAAAGTCCATCAGCAGGTGAATGTATAAACAAAATATAGTATAGGCATACAGTAGAATATTATTCAGCCTTAAAAAAATCGAATTGATACATGCTACAACATGTGTCAGCCTAGAAACAGTATGCTAAGTGAAATACACCATCCAAAAAAGGACAAATACTATATTATTCCCCTAATATGAAGAACTAGAATAATTAAATTTGGAAAGAAAGAAACCCGAGTGGTGGCTGCCAGGGCCTGGGAGGAGGGAGAAATTAAGATTTATAAACAGCAACACTTTACAGTTTCAGGTTGGGAAGATAAAAAGTTCTAGATATAGATGGTAGTAATGGTTGCATAACAATGTGAACACACTTAATGCCACTGAACTGTATACATAAAAATTGTTCAACTGGTCAATTTTATGTTATGTATATTTTACCACAATTTTAAAAGTAAAATAAAAAGATATACTTTGTTTGTTTGTTTGTTTTTGGAAGACGGAGTTTTGCTCTGTCACCCAGGCTGGAGTACAGTGGCGTGATCTTGCTTCACTGCAACCTCTGCCTCCCAGGTTCAAGCAATTCTCCTTCCTCAGCCTCCCCAGTAGCTGGGACTACAGGCGCACGCCACCACACCCAGCTAATTTTTTTTTTTGTATTTTAGTAGAGACAGGGTGTCAGCGTGTTGGCCAGGCTGGTCTCAAACTCCTGAGCCAAGGCAATCCATCTGCCTTGGCCTCTCAAAGTGCTGGGATTACAGGCATAAGCCATTGCAACTGGTCAAAAAGATGTACTTTTAAAGGGAATAAATGATCATTCAAAAATATTTTTAAAACTCTGTTTCCACATAGAATACTTCAAATTTTAATGGTCCAAAAATACCTAAGTAAAACCAGGTGTTTTGTCCACTCATACCCCAGGAAATCCAAGGCAAAAATACACCTGAAAAAAGCAGGGGGGTATTTCGTTTATATTTTGATTAATTTCATTTTATTATGCTATATACAAAACTAGGTTCAGAAAAGATGTAAGAGGAAAAAAAATATCAAGTCAAAAGAACTACTATCAATCTACTTAATAAGTCAAAGATTTATATTAACCACAAAATTTCAATCCTATTATTATGAAGGCAGTGTAATTCAAAATAGGTTTTATAAGTTTAGGTTTTTAATGTGTAAATATTGAATGTTATATTTAAACTAAGGACTGCACAATTATTTTAGTTATATTGGCCCCCTTTAAAAAGTTGTAATGGGCCGGGTACAGTGGCTCACACCTATAATCCCAACACTCTGGGAGGCTAAAGCAGGTGGATTGCTGGAGCCCAGAAGTTCAAGACCAACCTGGGCAACATGGAGAAATCTCATCTGTTTTTTCAAAAAATAAAAAGTTCTTAAAATAAATAAATAAAACAAAATGTTCTAATGGATAAAAAAGGATGTAACAGTTTTTAAATGTATACATGGTTCTCACAGATTGACATGGTTTGACAGCACAGTCCCTTCTTCCACACTGGCTGATGTCATTCCAGAAAGGACACGGCCTCTTCAGGTTTACCTATAAAATAATAATAGAAAAAGAGTTATAAAAATCAGAATCCCAAGGTAATAATTGACAGTTACAAATTATGGTGCTATAATTTGGTCATGTTATCAGCTGCAAATATATTATTTCTTCTACCTATCTGTTGCCAGGTCCAACAATAGTATAAATGTGAGGCTAGTATAAGTACATTGGCAGACCTGGTTAGAAAGACACAGACTGGGCCAGGCACAGTGGCTTATGCCTATAATCCTAGCACTTTGGGAGGCCAAGGTGGATGGATCAACTGAGGTCAGGAGTTCGAGACCAGCCTGGCCAACATGGCAAAACCCCGTCTCCACTAAAAATTCAAAAATTAGTCAAGTGTGGTGGCAGGCGCCTGTAATCCCAGCCACTTGGGAGGCCGAGGCAAGAGAATTGCCTGAACCCAGGAAACAGAAGTTGCAGCAAGCTGAGATCACACCACTGCACTACAGCCTGGGTAACGAAGCAAGACTCCGTCTACAAAAAAAAAAAAAAGACACAGACTGCCACTAAATAGACTCTAAACAGATGGCAACTAGGAGCCAAAGTAGCTCGACTCCTATTCTTTTCAAACAAGAAAGAGTTAACAGGTAGAAAATGGACAATTTTAAACTCTGACTACAACTAAATACTCCAATGATCAGGTTTTCTAAACTCTTCTAGTAAATATCTCAAGATAAAATAGTACAAGTGATTTGTTAAAACAATATAGGTCAAAATAAAGTCATGATTCTACTAAAAAACATTTAATTATTTTAATTAATTGGAGCCAATCTGATGTTTTAGAAAATTATGATCTCACAATCTTGATAAGAATATATAATAATTTCTGTCCTAACTTCAATTTAACCAATGAGGTTCTAACTTTAGAGTGTAAAATTCAGTTATTAAAATTATCCAATAGATGGTTTCAGAATCACATGGTACACTCTTATGAACTGAATTTCCTTAATAAAGCCTATATCAATTTTAAATAATAACCACAATTTTGAAGCTCAGTAATTCTTAAGAAAATGTAACTATCTGCTTAAACTTTATTCTTACATAAAAAGTTAAAATTAGAAATACCTTGTAGTATCTAAAGTAGTCACTTTCAAGAAGTTTTTGTAGTCTTGGGAAAAGCCTGTAGTTATTAAATCTATCAATGGTTTCAACATCACAGGTACAATCATCCAAGTAACCACTAACCTGTTACAAAGAAAATGAAATATTAAATGGAAATGTCCTAGATGCAACAGGATTCTTTTTCCTCACATGGTTGTTATGAAACAGCCCCTACTCAACCAATCCTTATCCTCCCTCCTCCCACATAATTTCTTGAGATGGGATATGACAATAATCTAGTAATATTGCTGCTCTTGCTATATACCAAGAGGAATACAGTGAATACTTCTGTAGGGTGTGCAGAGCTCAAGACACGTGTGTTCACATGCAAGCACACACACACACACACACACACACAGACTGGTTCCCTGGCAATCATTTATTTTGTAACTGCCCTCCAGGCCAAAGTTGACTTGACTAAGGGTAGGCATCTAACTCAAACCCGGTCATGATCGCCTCTCCGGGAACCTAGAATTGAGACTAACAAGAAGACATGTCTCCTGTGGCTAGACCAGTAAACGAATGCTCCATAATATGAACTGAGGAGCACATGAGCCAGTTGGCAGAGAGAGAAAAGGTTTTAAAAGATACACAAAGCTTGACTGTCCTTGGAATTCTCGGGCTGGGCGCTGGGGTAGAAAAAGATACACAAAGAAGCAGAGGTAGGAGATAGAGAGAGAGTATATGCTGCTTGGAGAACTGACCTGTCTTTCCTGAAGCACAGCTGCATTCCCATCCTTAGTTTTCAGTAAGGATCTAACAACCCTCAAATATTGGGCTATAACAATTTCCTAAAGGTTTGGAAGGGTGCTTAGAAATTACTTATCATTACTAAAACACTGAAACAGCAAACTGACCTCAAAGTCAATCCTGATCTTCACATTTTTAAAGCTAACATCTTAATGATATTTACTAAATCAGGCTATTAAATACACATATCCTAGGACACAATGGTAGTGATAATAAATATTATCAGTTATGAAACCAGATTTTTTTCCTTTTTTTCACCAATCTTCCTTGCCAAATTAAACTAAAATTCTTGGATGTTTATTTGGGCTAGAAAAATACCTAACAGAATTAATTAAAGATTGCTTTAAGAAACAAATATATAATGATTCCAAAAACAAAAACAAACAAAACAACCTAGAAAAAAAATTTTTAATATAGCATGCTGCAGAAAAGAGATCTTTATCATACTTTAGTCTAGATAATTGCATTTTAAACTACTTTGGATTATATTTTAGGAAGATCTATTGCCTAGAAATAAATAATTTTAAAATCTACTGATATGGAAGAAAATAAATAATATTCTAATGAAATACTGAATTAAGATTCAGTATTTTAGAATACCATAAAATCGTAAACTTTCTTTTAATTTGCGAATATAGCAAAACAGTAATGGAAATTTTTCACCTAAAAGAAATAAGAATACACTGGATGATAACAGCAATATTCAAGAGAAACTTTTTACTGCTTTTCCTACTCTTAATTGTTTTGGACTAGTTCAGTTTCTAGAAATCTCATCTACACATTTTGCCATGTAATAACTATTTTCATTTCATATGCAAATTTGTCCTTTTTCCTACCAAAAATTCTCTGAATATACAAGAATCTCAGAGTCCTAATTTTGGATACCAAAAACACAAAGTACTTTTAAGCTAAAAGATTTGATTTTTCAAACTTTCTTTTGAACCTTAAGAGCAGAAGTTCTAGGGACAAAAAAATAGCTGTTTCTCCCCTTTGATACCAATTATTATACAAAGAATGCAAAGGCCAAAGGGATATCTGCAAAGTAGAGACATTAAGTTACAAAAAGAAACACATGAAAAACTTGAGAGCAAGTTTCAAGCCATCCATTTTTCCCCCGAGGAATTCATTTTTAAGGTAAAAATATTCAAGATTCAGCTCAGTATTACCTCTCTCAGGAAGCTGTCCTTCTGCTACTCTTACCACCTGCTGGGTTATCTGCCTCTCCCAGCTGCTCCCGGGACACTTCACACACTATTATTTAAGTACTACCATACCTCACAGCAGAAAATTTATCTATTTTGCTCCTGCTCACTAGAATATAAAATCCTTGAGCGAAAAAATTATATACTTCCAGAAAGCACACTAATTATTGATGCTCAATAATTATTTGTGGCCTCTAATCCCAGCACTCTGGAGGCCAAGGCAGGAGAATCACTTGAGTTTAGCAGTTGGAGACCAGCCTCAACAACATAGTGAAACCCCATCTCTACCAGAAATACAAAAATTAGCCAGGCATGGCAGCCTGCGCCTGTAGTCTCAGCTACTGGGGCGGCTGAAGCAGGAGAATCACTTGAACCCAAAAGGCAAAGGTTGCAGTGAGCCGAGATTGTACCACTACTGTACTGTACTCCAGCCTCCGCCACAAAGTGAGATCCTGCCACTAATCACTGGAGACCAGCACCACACTGTCTCATTAAACATATCTAGCACCATGTCACCTATGGTGTGCTCAGTGCCCCAGAGTATACAAGCACAGGAGGCAGAAACACACACAGCAAGTAAAGCAAGCAGCAAAGGTAAACAAGCTTTTGTATACAACATTCTTCCTATCTCTATCCTCATTACAAAGGAAGCTCTAAGAAGCCCCAAACCAGAAAGTAATGCAAAAATCCTCCGGAGCAGAGGTGGCATACAGCCAAGAGACCTCAAAGGGAAAGAAGGCAGGATAAATGGTAGATATTAAAATGTTTTGCCCCTTCCTGAAATATGAAGTAGGAGGTATTCTCAACCACAGGTAGCAGGGCAGGAGATTCAATGGACGAAGACAGCTCATTAAAGGAAAGACAGGAAGATTCTCGGAAATCCATGCCATCTGACAGCTCAGATAAGCCGGCCAACCTGATCCCTGGGAGGGAGTCTGGCGAAGATGGTGGCAGGACCAGTTCTAGAAACTAGAGAACAAAGCATGTTACTAGAATAGAGTCTCAGCCAGGCACAGTGGCTCATGCCTATAATCCTAGCCCTCTGGGAGGCCAAAGTGGGCAGATTTCTTGAGCCCAGGAATTCCAGACCAGCCTGGACAACATGGCAAAACCCTGTCTCTACTAAAAATACAAAAAAAATTAGCCAGGCATGGTGGCATATGCCTGCAGTCCCAGCTGCTTAGGAGGCTGAGGTGGGAGGATGGCTTGAGCCTGGGAAGCCAAGACTAAGGTGAGCCGAGACTGCAGCACTGCCCAAACTGGGCAATGGGAGTGAGATCCTGTCTCAAAAAAAAAAAAAAAAAAAAAAAGGATTGAGCCTCAGGAAAGGGCTAATGTGAAATACAGTTAATAGACACAGAACAGGATCCTGGAAACAAAGCAAAATCCTATTACCTCAACTAAGACCAAAGACAGGTACCAACCTGTAACAACGAGGACTGGGTGTTGTTTCAGAACGTCCTAAGGCTGCATAAAGAACGACTACGTGGAACAATTAGGTAAGGGAGAAAGTCACTACTACGCTATATCCCAAAGTGAAATAGAACTCTGACCTACCATAGGAATCTGAACTTTTTTAAATGTTTATGTTTTTTTAAAGGTTGGTATCCTAACATTTGAGGCTCACTGCTCTAATGCTCTAAGCTTTTGGTAGAGGGCCAGTCTAATAAGCAGCAATAAGAAGGCCCTATTTGAAGGATGGTAAATAGGAGGACCAAGGTAGGCCTGACACATAACATGGACTACTCTAAAATTTTAGCCTTTTGGTCAGGCATGGTGGCTCACACCTGTAATCCCAGCACTTTGAGAGGCAAAGGCAGGAGGACTGCTTGAGCCCAGAAGTTCAAGACTAGCCTGGGCAACACAGTGAGGCCCCGTCTCTACAAAAAAAAAAATAAAATAATTAGCGAGGTATTGTGGTGCATGTCTGTAGTTCCAGCCAATTAGGAAGCTAAGGTGGGAGAATTGCTTGAGCCAGGAAGGTCGTGGCTGCAGGGAGCCATAATCATGCCAGTGTACTCCAGCCTGGATGACAGAGTAAGACACTGCCAGAAAAAAAAAAAAAAAAAAAATCCTAGTGTTTTAAGAGATAGAGAGCCTTGGAAGGCTTTCTTTTACAACCTCCCAAGCCAAACAGCAAGTCCCTCCATTCACATCCCTCAAGAAATAGGTAGTGTGTAACAAGTTAGCATGTATGTTCCAACATCAGGCCTCCTTAGGTTTGAATCCCATCTTTGCCAGACATTACTTTTTCACTTTACCTAGGTTATTTAACCTCTCTAGGCCTTGGTTTGTCATCTTAAGAGAAAATAGTAATAGTTTTCATCTCAAAGATTTGATACCAAGGTAAATAGTACAAAGTAAATTGTCAGTACATGTTAATCATGATTATTAACCTACTTCTGCTTAAATGCTTCCAATGAAAGGGAAGCATTTGTTATTCCCCAAAGCAGCACATGGCATTTTCATAATGAATAAGAAAAATACAGCCAAATGTGCAGCTAACATTTCCCAAAAATTTTACAAATGTCGCCCCAATGGAACAAAGAACTAGATAACAAACAGTTAGCTGTGGAGGGAGCCTCAATTACTTTCTCCGATGACTCTTTGATTTGACCAAAAGCAAAAGGCAGGATAAAGGAAAATTACCTTGTACTGCTTGTTCACTATTCTCATGTTAGAAGTATCCTTTAATTTGCAATGAAAGAAAAAAACAACAAAAACCACTTTCTAAAGTTTTCTTGTGTACCCATATATTCTAGTCTTATCATACATTATCATTTTTCCACTCAAAGCACTCTAAGAGTATATTCCTCGGCCAGGTGCAGTGGCTGAGGCCTGTAATCGCAGCACGTGGCAGGCCTACGCAGGCGGATTACAAGGTGAAAAGATGGAGACCATCCTGGCTAACACAGTGAAACCCCATCTCTACTAAAAATATAAAAAATTAGCAGGGTGTGGTGGCACGCGCCTGTAGCCCCAGCTACTTGGGATCTCCAAAAAAAAAAAAAAAGAATTAATTCCGCATATAATTTTTTTTTTTTGAGATGGAGTTTCACTCTTGTTTCCCAGGCTGGAGTGCAATGGTGCAATCTCGGCTCACTACCACCTCTTTTTTTATGAAATACCTTT